ATTTTAATGGATCTTTAGTTTCTAATCCAAAACTAATAATCTGAAATGTTAAGAACCTTCATTTTATATATATATATATATATGGAGCATAAATCACGTGGCAGCTGAAGTCCAATTTTATGTTGGGGCTCTTCTCTTGTATTGGCCTGCACTTTAGGACCGCATTATTTACGTTAGGAAATTGAGAGTATGGTGTAGCTAAATTATACTTTGTATGGACTTGGTGAAGTTCTCCTGTTGTAATTAAAGGTAGTTGATGTGTTTAACCACTTCATTTATGTAATACTTTATCTATTATCTATTAAATTTTTTAGCTTATTTTACTTTTAGTTGGTGGCATCGTCACAACATTGCAAATTTTATTGTGTCATCCTTAGAAAGATTAATGTGGAGGAGTTTGAAGATAGGTTGATGCATTTTTTTAGTAAAATGGAAACTTCATCAGAGGTTTATAAATACATTTAGGTGCATAATGTTCTATAAGGAATAAGAAGAGGTAACACAGAGTTCGTAGTTGTCTATCTCATTTGTGGTTTGTTTCTATTTATCTGAAGATTTTATATGAATTGATGTGCTATTTTTTATTTGTTAGGATTTAGCATTTGATTTGTCCCTCTCTGCCCTTCTTGGGGACAACATCTACAACTTTGGAGAGCTACTTGCCCATCCTATAGTGAGTAATTACATCAAAATATTTGGAGCACCTATTTTCTGAAATTTCCTGTTTTTATCATTTTACTATGTTGGTTCACACACCCTATACTCTGTTTTGTCTATCATTTTACTACGTTGGTTCACACAGCCTATACTATGTTAAACAGATCAAGAGCCTTCTGGGGACAAAAGTGGAATGGCTTTACTATATTCTGCAGGCATTCAATTCTGGTGATTTAGTGCGATATCAAGAATTGTGTCGGGTGCATAATGCTGCTTTAAGTGCCCAACCAGCACTGGTTCAAAATGAACAGAAGTTGTTGGAGAAGATCAACATTCTCTGTCTGATGGAGATTATATTCAGGTGTATAATTTAATTAGATTGTCACTGTTGTCAACTGTTGAGGTGTATTTTATATCCTTTTTTATTTTCATCCCAACTCAACTGATTGCTGTTGCTTGCAGTCGGCCTTCAGAAGATCGAACTATTCCGTTGAGTGTAATTGCTGAGCGTACAAAACTTTCTATAGAGAATGTGGAACATCTCCTAATGAAGAGCTTATCTGTAAGTTGTATTGGAAGTTATACGGAAAACAGTATAGAAATTTTGTTTGATTTTCTTTGCAACCATTTAAAGTAGTACACTTTCAGCCCAAACATCTCTGTAAATGTGAAATAGCTTATGATGTTTTCTTGTTTCTTCTCATTTTTCTTAGTCTAAATTATTTTTACAAAGGCTTGACCTATAATGACAGTTAATCATAGTGTGGTCATAGTGTTTTTTAAGCATATATTTTGTTTGGGAATGGAGATATAAAGTATAGTCTAACCGATATTCTTGAGTCTTGAGCTGTGACATGTCCTTACTCAGTTGATGAATTATGTTGTGTTGGTTGTTACTCATAAAATGTATAGTTGATTATTTTGAGTTTTAGTTATTAACCGTGATACATAAGCAACACCTAATGTTATACTTTTGCTATGCGGAAACTGACCTCCCATCTTGTGGTGGCAGATTTGTCGAAGTGAGTGGTATGGCCTGCATGTTCAAACATGTTAAGAACTTTTTATGCTTGATTTCATTTAAGGCATACATAACTTCTTGCTATATTATTGGTAGTATGTTGCAACACGAGTATTCTGTTTTGAATTTGATTTTCTATTAGATAATTCTCTTTAGTTTTCATTGGCAATTAACTCTATTTTTATCACCTGAAAACTGCTAAAAAGTGGGTTATAATGGGACGAGTGAATTGGTTGATTTGGACAGTTTAGTTGACATAAAGCGAAGAGGTGTATTAGGTTAATTTTTTTTTGGAGCATTTGCGTCTTTTACTAGGTTTTATAGATCTTGGGAATTTCGCACGGAATGCATTATTTTTGGCTGTTTTGAATTGTTGTTATGTTAATTTTTTAGTGTTGGTTTCATCTTGTCCTTTCATTACCTCCTGAGGCTGCTTTAGACGTGGGATATTTTTTCTCATTCAAATAAATGTTGTTTTTACATGTATTTCTACACCTTTTCAGTGATTAAGCAGAGAATCTTGTTGAATATTGTGGCAGTGGTTTAGAAATACTTACTTTACTTCTTAACTGAATCACAACGAGTACATAAGACAACTTCATTCTGAATGTATTTATAGTATTGTGTACTTGTTTCAAAGAATTTTAGTCATCCTTGAATTGTTCTTAGCAAAGCAATCCGAAGTTTCTTTAATTGAATTTCTGCATTTGAGAACTTTATTATTATCATATAGATGTTTCAGCAAATAACGTTTTAAAATTTAAAGCTTGGAAGTGAATTTCTTTATTTTCAGGTTCATCTAATTGAGGGTATAATTGATCAAGTTGAGGGCACAGTGCAAGTTTCCTGGGTGCAACCAAGAGTTCTGGGTATTCAACAGATCAAATCCTTACGGGATAGACTTGACAGTTGGACAGGGAAAGTACACACTGCATTGTTATCCATCGAGGCAGAAACACCTGATCTAATCGGATCGTGAATTCTCTTTTATTCATTTTCTGCCCTTTGTAACAATTTCTTAGGTTAAAGAGAACACATCCTTAGGCGACACAAGATGAGGAGACTTCCAAGTGACATGGGGCCAACTTTGTATGCTTTATTTGGGTTACCAGCTGCTTTCTGAGTGATTGCTGGAAGAGCATCCCCTTGTACTTGGCTGAGAAATTGTTGGTTCTATGCTTGCAAACTTACAGACATGGTAACTCATTTCCACCCTCGCTGTTTTTACGCATTAGAGTAAATGACAGACTATGTATCTGGAATTTTCTTTGATACGGCCATTTTTATTGACTTTTACAAGTATTTTTCATTGAACAGTCCAAAGCATTCATCTTCGTTCTTTTGCCCAATTTTTCCTCACTTTGATTGGGTGGTACTTGCTATGAGCTGAATCTTCCGTCTGTTATTCCAACTTCTGTTATTTTTGTGCGAGGCTGTTTTCTTGTAACAGCAATAAATTGATCAAATGACTCGAATGGTGATAGAGATGATAAATGTTAACACTTTGTTGAACATACCTTTTCCTTTTAGGTTAAAATTTATTAGGAATTAAAGTTTGTGTTTTACTAGCATTTTTCATCGAAATGTTTGGTTGAAATGCTTTGCGGTATGAATAAGTGGTCGTTTGCATTAAAAAACAAAATATTCGTGAAAGAATGAATGAATTTATGGAGGATTTGCCATTTCATTTGAAATATGATTGCTACGTTCATGATAAGTCCAATCAGAAATATGAACCGTAAGAAAATATCAATTAAATCTATAGTAGAAGACGCAGATAGAGGAAAAGAAAATGATGCATTGAGAAGAAGATAATTAGAAGGCAGAGTGGAAATTTACGTAGAAGTCAGATTGAATATAAGAATGATTTTTCTTTTTAAATAAAAGTAAAGGTTGATAATAATCTATTTTATAAATACAAATAATTGATATATGCATTTATGAAAAGTAAAGGGATACATAAGTTTGTAGTTTCAAAATCTCGATTATGTTTTAAATTTTCATATATTTTTATTGCAAATTTTAAAAGNCCTCATCCTGATCCCCTCTTCTAACCTTATATAATCATTCTTCTCATCATCCAAAGAGGCATCGACTTCAGCTTTTTCTCTTAACATTTCCAAATAAATATTTGGCAATCCTTCTTCCATTTCTTCCTTGCTACTAATTTCTCGATTCTTTTATTATTACCCCTTTCCAGTTTCAGAAGCTCCTCCTTTTCCTTTTATAAAAACTGAGATAATGTTCCATCTTGACCCTCTTCATTTGCAAACTGCTTCCTTTTGTTATCCATCAAGCTCCTTATCTGCAAACAGTGGATGGCAATGGATGCCAGACCTTTTTGAATTAGGCAACGCTGTTTGTGACAGTGCAGCCATGACAATTCTTTCTGAATTATGCAAATTGTCTTTTCACTTGAACAAAATATGTAGGGGAGGGGAAGAAGGTAGATTACAATGATAAGGGACTTGATAATGGTGATACTTTCCAAAAGCATGACTAAGGCTGTTTATTAATTTACAGTGGCTGATAATGACAATTAGTGTGGTTTTCTGCACATCCAAGTGTTGGTATTTAGGAGTGATATTTATTCTCTTGAATCACATTTTGCTACTATAAAGTTATATATATATATATATATATATATATATATATAACTTTATATATATGTATGTATGTATGTAGAAGAAAACCGAAAAAAAAGACCTTCAACAACCACAAAAAATAGATTTCTTGATTTGGCACTAATTGAATTATTAAAATATAAAATCTACTTTATGAATTATCAGAAACCCTTTTCTCATATTTCGATTTTAATGGATCTTTAGTTTCTAATCCAAAACTAATAATCTGAAATGTTAAGAACCTTCATTTTATATATATATATATATATGGAGCATAAATCACGTGGCAGCTGAAGTCCAATTTTATGTTGGGGCTCTTCTCTTGTATTGGCCTGCACTTTAGGACCGCATTATTTACGTTAGGAAATTGAGAGTATGGTGTAGCTAAATTATACTTTGTATGGACTTGGTGAAGTTCTCCTGTTGTAATTAAAGGTAGTTGATGTGTTTAACCACTTCATTTATGTAATACTTTATCTATTATCTATTAAATTTTTTAGCTTATTTTACTTTTAGTTGGTGGCATCGTCACAACATTGCAAATTTTATTGTGTCATCCTTAGAAAGATTAATGTGGAGGAGTTTGAAGATAGGTTGATGCATTTTTTTAGTAAAATGGAAACTTCATCAGAGGTTTATAAATACATTTAGGTGCATAATGTTCTATAAGGAATAAGAAGAGGTAACACAGAGTTCGTAGTTGTCTATCTCATTTGTGGTTTGTTTCTATTTATCTGAAGATTTTATATGAATTGATGTGCTATTTTTTATTTGTTAGGATTTAGCATTTGATTTGTCCCTCTCTGCCCTTCTTGGGGACAACATCTACAACTTTGGAGAGCTACTTGCCCATCCTATAGTGAGTAATTACATCAAAATATTTGGAGCACCTATTTTCTGAAATTTCCTGTTTTTATCATTTTACTATGTTGGTTCACACACCCTATACTCTGTTTTGTCTATCATTTTACTACGTTGGTTCACACAGCCTATACTATGTTAAACAGATCAAGAGCCTTCTGGGGACAAAAGTGGAATGGCTTTACTATATTCTGCAGGCATTCAATTCTGGTGATTTAGTGCGATATCAAGAATTGTGTCGGGTGCATAATGCTGCTTTAAGTGCCCAACCAGCACTGGTTCAAAATGAACAGAAGTTGTTGGAGAAGATCAACATTCTCTGTCTGATGGAGATTATATTCAGGTGTATAATTTAATTAGATTGTCACTGTTGTCAACTGTTGAGGTGTATTTTATATCCTTTTTTATTTTCATCCCAACTCAACTGATTGCTGTTGCTTGCAGTCGGCCTTCAGAAGATCGAACTATTCCGTTGAGTGTAATTGCTGAGCGTACAAAACTTTCTATAGAGAATGTGGAACATCTCCTAATGAAGAGCTTATCTGTAAGTTGTATTGGAAGTTATACGGAAAACAGTATAGAAATTTTGTTTGATTTTCTTTGCAACCATTTAAAGTAGTACACTTTCAGCCCAAACATCTCTGTAAATGTGAAATAGCTTATGATGTTTTCTTGTTTCTTCTCATTTTTCTTAGTCTAAATTATTTTTACAAAGGCTTGACCTATAATGACAGTTAATCATAGTGTGGTCATAGTGTTTTTTAAGCATATATTTTGTTTGGGAATGGAGATATAAAGTATAGTCTAACCGATATTCTTGAGTCTTGAGCTGTGACATGTCCTTACTCAGTTGATGAATTATGTTGTGTTGGTTGTTACTCATAAAATGTATAGTTGATTATTTTGAGTTTTAGTTATTAACCGTGATACATAAGCAACACCTAATGTTATACTTTTGCTATGCGGAAACTGACCTCCCATCTTGTGGTGGCAGATTTGTCGAAGTGAGTGGTATGGCCTGCATGTTCAAACATGTTAAGAACTTTTTATGCTTGATTTCATTTAAGGCATACATAACTTCTTGCTATATTATTGGTAGTATGTTGCAACACGAGTATTCTGTTTTGAATTTGATTTTCTATTAGATAATTCTCTTTAGTTTTCATTGGCAATTAACTCTATTTTTATCACCTGAAAACTGCTAAAAAGTGGGNTTATGTGTTATGTTAAACATGTTCCAGACAAATGAAACGTAAATAGACCAAATTCAGTTAAGAGAATCTTAGTTATTTATTTTTTAAAGTTTAAGAGTATCTTATTTATTAATTTTTAAAGATTAAAAATTAAATTGTATCAAACTTTAAAACATATCTAATTTTGTATCAAAGTATATATAACTCTCTGGTAAATTATGCTATTAAATATATAATTTGGATTGAAAATATTTGTTTATTATAATTTTTTAATTAAATTGACTTTCAGAAAAAATTTCGGATTAAAATATATTTAATTATTATTTAAATTTAAAAAATATTTAAAACTTCATCACATTTTTATTATATATAAATTACGTGGATGCTTAACAAAATAAAATAATATAAATAAAATAGAATGAAAATTTTTTCATATAACATACTTTTTTTTTATCTTTTATATTTTCAAACATCATAATTCCTATAAAATTGTTGCAGTTCATTATGTCTGTGTGCAACAATAATTAATTATAACCATATTATAAATTATTATATTACAAAATGCAATAATAAAATATTTTATTATAACACATAAATATAATAATGAATAATGATGTTATAACATGATTGTTATGAAATACTGTAAGAATAAGTTATAATGTAATACAACGTTTTCTTTGTTACCGTGACTTGTGGTCCAATTTCTGTGAAGAAATAAAAAGGATAGACAATTATTTTATTTCTTGGCTCCCTTCTGGTTTTTTCTTATAGCAACATGGTTGAGTTGTACTGGTTAGTTTAAAACAATTAATTGTAACTAGGTAGTAGACCAGACTGTAACATCTGTAAGATTTAGTTACTCACTTAGTCTAATTCAATTTTTGTTGGAAGTGCTTTTCATTATGAGAGCAATACTTCTTTTTATGGTCTTAGTTGCCTAATGAATTCCAAGAAGAAGGAGAAACTTCTGAGTTTTTTGTTTTTGTTTTTTTTCTGTTCCAGATATATAGGCACTGTGGTAATACCATGAAAAGGTTAAAAGGGTCCTCATGACAGATTTAACTGTTGTTCTTATGTATCAGATTAGAACACAGTCCCAAGAAGACAGAGTAAATCACAACTATCGAATTAAGAAAATAAATTTGTAATTTTCAAGGGCTTGAAAAGTAATTACACAACTAAATCCAAGCATACACGTGGAGATATACGAGAGGCCTTCTAACTTGCAAGGAGAATCTGGTGGGTCCAATCATTATCCTATCCAGAAATCCCATGTCTCATAATGCAATTTTCTTTCTTCTGTGGCCGCAAATGCTGCCTCAAATTTCATGGATCACATTCAAATCCTATGAAAATTACCATTTTTTTTCCTGAAAAACTCTATGAAAAAAAAGGAAAATCTTTTCCCTGTCACGCCCCCAAAAGGCCCAAACCACACCAATGCTCATCACAGTTCCTCCCCATTCCATTTCAGTAACTGGGATAATCACACCCCAGTTTCATACATACAAACACTTGTCAAACACTCTGCAGCCATCTGATCAACTTTCCTTGCATAATGGACCATAAAGTTCATCCTTTTCTGGTGCATAACCATCTCTCTCCAGTTTCTATATTCAGATTTTGAGTCAAATTCTTACTTGTATTGAAAATTTAATTTCATCAATTGTAACTTGTATCTTATTGACTAGATAATGTGTTGCATACAGTTATATGTTTTTAGCTTAGCTTGCTGGTTTAACATGGTGTGGATGGAAGGATGAGTGGGACATCTGTTCTTTGCCAATCCCATCTTCTGTCACTTCCAAATAATCCACCCCAAAACTCTGAATTGAATGCAAAGTTCAATGAGCAGGGATGGTTGTCTTTGCTCAAGAGATGCAAGAGCATGGAAGAATTCAAGCAAGTTCATGCCCAAATTCTAAAATTGGGCCTTTTCTGGGATTCTTTCTGTGGCAGCAATCTTGTTGCCACTTGTGCTCTATCCAGATGGGGCAGCATGGAGTACGCTTGCTCAATCTTCAGGCAAATTGAGGAACCTGGTAGCTTTGAGTACAATACCATGATCAGAGGAAATGTCAATAACTTGAATCTAGAAAAAGCTCTGTTGCTGTATGTTGAAATGCTTGAAAAAGGAATTGAACATGACAACTTCACCTACCCGTTTGTACTCAAAGCATGTTCTCTATTAGGTGTTCTCAAGGAGGGAGTGCAAGTCCATGGTCAGGTTTTCAAGGCAGGTCTCGAGGATGATACCTATGTGCAAAATGGCTTGATCAGCATGTACGGGAAGTGTGGGGAAATAAAGCATGCTTGTGACGTGTTTGAGCAAATGGATGAAAGGAGTGTGGCTTCATGGAGTTCCATCATTGGTGCACACGCTAGTGTGGAATTGTGGCAAGATTGCTTGATGCTTCTTGGGGACATGAGCAATGAGGGACGCCACAGGGCTGAAGAGAGCATTCTAGTTAGTGCACTTTCTGCTTGCACTCATTTGGGGTCTCCTGATATTGGAAGGTGCATACATGGGATCTTGCTGAGGAACATTAGTGAGCTCAATGTTGTTGTCAAGACTTCACTAATTGATATGTATATAAAATGTGGCAACCTTGACAAAGGGCTTTGTGTGTTCCAAAATATGGCTGTGAAGAACAGATACTCTTACACTGTCATGATCTCAGGGCTTGCCTTTCACGGGCGTGGAAGGGAAGCTCTGAGAGTTTTCTGTGAAATGGTGGAAGAAGGTTTGGCACCTGATGATGTTGTTTATGTGGGTGTATTAAGTGCTTGCAGTCATGCTGGTCTTGTCAACGAGGGTCTTCAGTGTTTCAACCGCATGCAATTTGTGCATAAGATCAAACCAACAATTCAGCACTATGGTTGCATGGTGGATCTTATGGGGAGAGCAGGGATGCTGAAGGAAGCCTATGAGCTCATAAAAGGCATGCAAATTAAGCATAATGATGTGGTTTGGAGGAGCCTTCTCAGTGCTTGTAAGGTTCATCTTAACTTAGAAATAGGGGAGATAGCAGCTGAGAATATTTTCAAGTTGAATCAACACAACCCTGGTGACTATTTGGTGCTAGCAAGTATGTATGCAAGGGCTCAAAAATGGACTGATGTAGCCAGGATCAGAACAGAAATGGCTGAAAAACATTTGGTGCAAACACCCGGGTTTAGTTTGGTTGAAGCAAATAGGAAGGTTCACAAGTTTGTGTCACAGGACAAGTCTCAACCAGAATGTGACACGATCTATGAAATGATTCACCAAATGGAATGGCAGTTGAAATTTGAAGGCTATGCACCAGACACCTCACATGTGTTGCTTGATGTAGATGAAGAAGAAAAGAGAGAGAGACTGAAACATCATAGTCAGAAGTTGGCAATTGCTTTTGCACTAATACAGACATCTGAAGGATCTCCAATAAGAATATCAAGAAATCTTAGGATGTGTAGTGACTGTCATACTTACACTAAGTTCATTTCCATGATCTATGAACGGGAAATTTCTGTAAGAGACCGTAATCGCTTCCACCATTTTAAAGATGGAACTTGTTCATGTAAAGATTATTGGTAAATTTCATTACATTTATGCATAAAGGGTTCTTATAGGGCTAGTATTTTTTTCCCGTGTTACACTTGATAGTTATATTGCAGTAAATAGACACTGATTGATATAATATTGAACACTGCCATCTTTTGCATCTCTTTTTGCTCCAATAATGTTGCTGTCAATGATGTCAAGAAAAATTGTTTTCGAAGAATTTATGAATCTTGATGAGTAACTCTTGTTTTCTTTTGGTATAATTAACATCGAAAACTTCAATATAGCTCTCTTAGCTAAATGGAATTGGAGACTAGAAACGGATGACTAGGTGTGTGGAAAGAGGTACTTGAGTCAAAGCATGGGTCATAGAGAAACTGGTGTGAAAATAACATGCTGAGCAAAANTCGAGGCAGAAACACCTGATCTAATCGGATCGTGAATTTTCTTTTATTTGTTTTCTGCCCTTTGTAACAATTTCTTAGGTTAAAGAGAACACATCCTAAGGCGACAAAAGATGAGGAGACTTCCAAGTGACATGGGGCCAACTTTGTATGCTTTATTTGGGTTACCAGCTGCTTTCTGAGTGATTGCTGGAAGAGCATCCCCTTGTACTTGGCTGAGAAATTGTTGGTTCTATGCTTGCAAACTTACAGACATGGTAACTCATTTCCACCCTCGCTGTTTTTACGCATTAGAGTAAATGACAGACTATGTATCTGGAATTTTCTTTGATACGGCCATTTTTATTGACTTTTACAAGTATTTTTCATTGAACAGTCCAAAGCATTCATCTTCGTTCTTTTGCCCAATTTTTCCTCACTTTGATTGGGTGGTACTTGCTATGAGCTGAATCTTCCGTCTGTTATTCCAACTTCTGTTATTTTTGTGCGAGGCTGTTTTCTTGTAACAGCAATAAATTGATCAAATGACTCGAATGGTGATAGAGATGATAAATGTTAACACTTTGTTGAACATACCTTTTCCTTTTAGGTTAAAATTTATTAGGAATTAAAGTTTGTGTTTTACTAGCATTTTTCATCGAAATGTTTGGTTGAAATGCTTTGCGGTATGAATAAGTGGTCGTTTGCATTAAAAAACAAAATATTCGTGAAAGAATGAATGAATTTATGGAGGATTTGCCATTTCATTTGAAATATGATTGCTACGTTCATGATAAGTCCAATCAGAAATATGAACCGTAAGAAAATATCAATTAAATCTATAGTAGAAGACGCAGATAGAGGAAAAGAAAATGATGCATTGAGAAGAAGATAATTAGAAGGCAGAGTGGAAATTTACGTAGAAGTCAGATTGAATATAAGAATGATTTTTCTTTTTAAATAAAAGTAAAGGTTGATAATAATCTATTTTATAAATACAAATAATTGATATATGCATTTATGAAAAGTAAAGGGATACATAAGTTTGTAGTTTCAAAATCTCGATTATGTTTTAAATTTTCATATATTTTTATTGCAAATTTTAAAAGTTAATAGATATAATCTTTATAATCTAATTATATTAATTTTTGTTATGTGTTATGTTAAACATGTTCCAGACAAATGAAACGTAAATAGACCAAATTCAGTTAAGAGAATCTTAGTTATTTATTTTTTAAAGTTTAAGAGTATCTTATTTATTAATTTTTAAAGATTAAAAATTAAATTGTATCAAACTTTAAAACATATCTAATTTTGTATCAAAGTATATATAACTCTCTGGTAAATTATGCTATTAAATATATAATTTGGATTGAAAATATTTGTTTATTATAATTTTTTAATTAAATTGACTTTCAGAAAAAATTTCGGATTAAAATATATTTAATTATTATTTAAATTTAAAAAATATTTAAAACTTCATCACATTTTTATTATATATAAATTACGTGGATGCTTAACAAAATATAATAATATAAATAAAATAGAATGAAAATTTTTTCATATAACATACTTTTTTTTTATCTTTTATATTTTCAAACATCATAATTCCTATAAAATTGTTGCAGTTCATTATGTCTGTGTGCAACAATAATTAATTATAACCATATTATAAATTATTATATTACAAAATGCAATAATAAAATATTTTATTATAACACATAAATATAATAATGAATAATGATGTTATAACATGATTGTTATGAAATACTGTAAGAATAAGTTATAATGTAATACAACGTTTTCTTTGTTACCGTGACTTGTGGTCCAATTTCTGTGAAGAAATAAAAAGGATAGACGATTATTTTATTTCTTGGCTCCCTTCTGGTTTTTTCTTATAGCAACATGGTTGAGTTGTACTGGTTAGTTTAAAACAATTAATTGTAACTAGGTAGTAGACCAGACTGTAACATCTGTAAGATTTAGTTACTCACTTAGTCTAATTCAATTTTTGTTGGAAGTGCTTTTCATTATGAGAGCAATACTTCTTTTTATGGTCTTAGTTGCCTAATGAATTCCAAGAAGAAGGAGAAACTTTTGAGTTTTTTGTTTTTGTTTTTTTCTGTTCCAGATATATAGGCACTGTGGTAATACCATGAACAGGTTAAAAGGGTCCTCATGACAGATTTAACTGTTGTTCTTATGTATCAGATTAGAACACAGTCTCAAGAAGACAGTAAATCACAACTATCGAATTAAGAAAATAAATTTGTAATTTTCAAGGGCTTGAAAAGTAATTACACAACTAAATCCAAGCCTACACGTGGAGAGATATGAGAGGCCTTCTAACTTGCAAGGAGAATCTGGTGGGTCCAATCATTATCCTATCCAGAAATCCCATGTCTCATAATGCAATTTTCTTTCTTCTGTGGCCGCAAATGCTGCCTCAAATTTCATGGATCACATTCAAATCCTATGAAAATTACCATTTTTTTTCCTGAAAAACTCTATGAAAAAAAAGGAAAATCTTTTCCCTGTCACGCCCCCAAAAGGCCCAAACCACACCAATGCTCATCACAGTTCCTCCCCATTCCATTTCAGTAACTGGGATAATCACACCCCAGTTTCATACATACAAACACTTGTCAAACACTCTGCAGCCATCTGATCAACTTTCCTTGCATAATGGACCATAAAGTTCATCCTTTTCTGGTGCATAACCATCTCTCTCCAGTTTCTATATTCAGATTTTGAGTCAAATTCTTACTTGTATTGAAAATTTAATTTCATCAATTGTAACTTGTATCTTATTGACTAGATAATGTGTTGCATACAGTTATATATTTTTAGCTTAGCTTGCTGGTTTAACATGGTGTGGATGGAAGGATGAGTGGGACATCTGTTCTTTGCCAATCCCATCTTCTGTCACTTCCAAATAATCCACCCCAAAACTCTGAATTGAATGCAAAGTTCAATGAGCAGGGATGGTTGTCTTTGCTCAAGAGATGCAAGAGCATGGAAGAATTCAAGCAAGTTCATGCCCAAATTCTAAAATTGGGCCTTTTCTGGGATTCTTTCTGTGGCAGCAATCTTGTTGCCACTTGTGCTCTATCCAGATGGGGCAGCATGGAGTACGCTTGCTCAATCTTCAGGCAAATTGAGGAACCTGGTAGCTTTGAGTACAATACCATGATCAGAGGAAATGTCAATAACTTGAATCTAGAAAAAGCTCTGTTGCTGTATGTTGAAATGCTTGAAAAAGGAATTGAACATGACAACTTCACCTACCCGTTTGTACTCAAAGCATGTTCTCTATTAGGTGTTCTCAAGGAGGGAGTGCAAGTCCATGGTCAGGTTTTCAAGGCAGGTCTCGAGGATGATACCTATGTGCAAAATGGCTTGATCAGCATGTACGGGAAGTGTGGGGAAATAAAGCATGCTTGTGACGTGTTTGAGCAAATGGATGAAAGGAGTGTGGCTTCATGGAGTTCCATCATTGGTGCACACGCTAGTGTGGAATTGTGGCAAGATTGCTTGATGCTTCTTGGGGACATGAGCAATGAGGGACGCCACAGGGCTGAAGAGAGCATTCTAGTTAGTGCACTTTCTGCTTGCACTCATTTGGGGTCTCCTGATATTGGAAGGTGCATACATGGGATCTTGCTGAGGAACATTAGTGAGCTCAATGTTGTTGTCAAGACTTCACTAATTGATATGTATATAAAATGTGGCAACCTTGACAAAGGGCTTTGTGTGTTCCAAAATATGGCTGTGAAGAACAGATACTCTTACACTGTCATGATCTCAGGGCTTGCCTTTCACGGGCGTGGAAGGGAAGCTCTGAGAGTTTTCTGTGAAATGGTGGAAGAAGGTTTGGCACCTGATGATGTTGTTTATGTGGGTGTATTAAGTGCTTGCAGTCATGCTGGTCTTGTCAACGAGGGTCTTCAGTGTTTCAACCGCATGCAATTTGTGCATAAGATCAAACCAACAATTCAGCACTATGGTTGCATGGTGGATCTTATGGGGAGAGCAGGGATGCTGAAGGAAGCCTATGAGCTCATAAAAGGCATGCAAATTAAGCATAATGATGTGGTTTGGAGGAGCCTTCTCAGTGCTTGTAAGGTTCATCTTAACTTAGAAATAGGGGAGATAGCAGCTGAGAATATTTTCAAGTTGAATCAACACAACCCTGGTGACTATTTGGTGCTAGCAAGTATGTATGCAAGGGCTCAAAAATGGACTGATGTAGCCAGGATCAGAACAGAAATGGCTGAAAAACATTTGGTGCAAACACCCGGGTTTAGTTTGGTTGAAGCAAATAGGAAGGTTCACAAGTTTGTGTCACAGGACAAGTCTCAACCAGAATGTGACACGATCTATGAAATGATTCACCAAATGGAATGGCAGTTGAAATTTGAAGGCTATGCACCAGACACCTCACATGTGTTGCTTGATGTAGATGAAGAAGAAAAGAGAGAGAGACTGAAACATCATAGTCAGAAGTTGGCAATTGCTTTTGCACTAATACAGACATCTGAAGGATCTCCAATAAGAATATCAAGAAATCTTAGGATGTGTAGTGACTGTCATACTTACACTAAGTTCATTTCCATGATCTATGAACGGGAAATTTCTGTAAGAGACCGTAATCGCTTCCACCATTTTAAAGATGGAACTTGTTCATGTAAAGATTATTGGTAAATTTCATTACATTTATGCATAAAGGGTTCTTATAGGGCTAGTATTTTTTTCCCGTGTTACACTTGATAGTTATATTGCAGTAAATAGACACTGATTGATATAATATTGAACACTGCCATCTTTTGCATCTCTTTTTGCTCCAATAATGTTGCTGTCAATGATGTCAAGAAAAATTGTTTTCAAAGAATTTATGAATCTTGATGAGTAACTCTTGTTTTCTTTTGGTATAATTAACATCGAAAACTTCAATATAGCTCTCTTAGCTAAATGGAATTGGAGACTAGAAACGGATGACTAGGTGTGTGGAAAGAGGTACTTGAGTCAAAGCATGGGTCATAGAGAAACTGGTGTGAAAATAACATGCTGAGCAAAAAGTCTGTGGAAGTTCTGAGTAAGGAACTTGGTTCTATAACTACACGAGCATATAGAAGAAGGAAATAAAGTAAAGTTTTGGAAGGACTGTTGGATAGGGGTTGAAAATAGAAAAAGTATAGAAATTTATTTAAAAAGTTTTATTTTAAAAGAAATATAAAAATAGAAATTTAAAAATATTAAGATATGGTGGCTGAATGGTTTTCCACTGTGTATCTTGAAATTTCTTTGATACGGCTATTTTTATTGACTTTTAAAAGTATTTTTGGTTGAATTGGCCCAAGCATTCACCTTCATTCTTTTGCCCAAATTTTCTTCTTTGATCTGGGTGGCACTTGATATGAGCTGATTCTTCTGTCTGTTATTTGTGGGTGGATGTTTTCTTGTAGCAGCAAGAACTTGATCAAATGACACTAAAGAAGATAGAGATGCTAAATGTCTTAACACTTTGTTGAACATACCTTTTCCTTGTATGTTAAAATTTATTAGAAATGAAATTGTCTATTCCTACTTGTCATAGTATGAAGTGTGTGCCTTAGCGTGTTCTGAGAAATTGAAACAGTTCTGAGAATCTAAACATCCCACCAAACACACATGTACACATAAAAAAAGTACCTAGCGTTAACAAGAGCTTGAATTTAGCAGATGTTTAGCTGGTGATTGAAGTAATTAACGTGGTATTACAAAATCAGATTATGGTGATATCTATTAGAGGTAAAGAAGTTCAAACAAAAGGGAAGAAAATCTCCCATGCTGCATCAGTAGGATCACCGGTGGCCTGCAGAACGCTTCCTCTACAATCCAACAGTCAAACTAATAATCTAGAAGCTTCAAAAACCAAACTAGGCGGCCGTCAAGACACAATCTACTCTAAAAATGTGAGATCTGCAACGTAAAGGAAAAAGACTTCAGAAACTGTCCTGGCACTTGACATCCTATAACAAATAATCAAAACTTCATAAAAACCTCAAATAGATTATTTTTCTTAAATAAAAGCTTTGAGGACCTTAACACATTAAAAAACACTTGGAACAAGCTCCTGAACCATAAATAAAGTTTGAGATCAGAACTAATACTTCTAACACCATGGTAGTCTATCATTCTTCGCTTTCCATGTCAATAACGTTATATGCAACTTTGGATGAACCTTCATCTACTACATTTTGATAATTAATATCTTCTCAATCATCTACATACATTTTAACAAAACAATGACTATGTATAAATTTGAAACAAATAATACAATAAAGAATAGTATGAAAGAAAGTAAAATAATTACCTTCAAGAACAAATCCATACTTCCAACTAAAGTCACATCCTCAAATAAAAGAAAATTCCTATATTTGTTAATGATATGAGAACCAATGCTAAATGCAGATTCACATGCAACGATAGTTATTGGAATGCTTATCCGGACTTTAGCCATTAAAACAAGATCAGAAAATCTTTGACGATTATTCTTCCACCATTTTAACACATCCATGTGCTCAAAAGATTCAAAATCTAGAGTTGATTAATCGAAATAATTGTCAAGTAGTGTCCTTCCATATTTGTTACTTAATTGAAGTTTGCACTCTTTTTATTAGTTAAATGGTTATTATTTCTTATTTGTGTTTTGGACTTAGTCCATATTTATTCTATTATTTGTATACATGATTTTCACTATATTAAACAGGGTATCTAGAGCTGGGTTATTTTGAGAAAAAAAAAATTTCATTTGTCTCTATCACTACATCCACCGCTACCAGTGACGTCATCGTCTACCACCGTCATCTACGGTTGGCACTATTGGAATTCCAATTTCGATTGCCGATCACACGATTTTGATCATCTCAGCCAAGTGATCATCATGCCATCAATAATGCCTTATCAAAGCTCCTATGCGCTCTCAGCGACTTTTAAAGTTGTGGGTCTGCTCTCTTTTTAGACAACAATTCAGAGTGTTGAAGTCACCCTTTTTCCTCTTTCAGGTTTGTTGTGTGTGGTCGACGTCCTGTATACTCTGAGACAGTTATTTAGAGCATCGATGTTGCTCTTTTTCCTTTTTTAGGTGTCTTGATGGGAGAATCTTGAATTTTTAAGGTTTCTTCTCATGTTCATCCATGACTTCTTTTGACCTCCTTTTTGTCACCTCTTGCAAATTGTCGTTAAAGATATATTGTTGACATCCAGTAAATAAAGTCATTATTGAAGAGTCACCACGACTACAAATAAATTAACAAAAACTATCTTTGTTACAGGAGAAAAAATATATGAACGGATCAAATGCAATAGTTAATAAAATAAAATTATGATTAATAAAATAATAATAAAATAAGTTAGTAATCGGTATAATGTAAAAGCAAGTAAGTGTAATGAAGTGAAGTAAATTAAAAATAAGCAACCTACATAAAAAAGGCTTGGTTTAGATTCAGACGAGGATGAAGAAAGGCTTGGTTTAGATTCAGACGAGGATGAAGATTGTCCATGTTTGAGCTTTTAACTTATGTTAGCAAACCTTTACTATTATATTCAATAAAACGCTTGTACAATTTTTCTTTGATTTTCTCCAATTTTAGCTCCAAAGTAGATCAAGTTTTTCAAAGCAAAAGGCAATGTTTCTAATTTCATTCTTGATTCTAAAATTGCACCAAAAATTGTCCTAAAAGCAAACACAACATTATATTCATTCCAATATTTTTCAAATTTGACTATCATCAATTCAATCACATCCTTAATTTCTTTGTCATCCTTCACATTGTAAAAAGTACAAATTAGAGGTAGATACTGATATCATAAAAAGACAATAAGAACCTACAAATTTTTTCAAATGAGAAGTACCATACTTTCTTCCACCACACACAAATATTTTGTTACAACCATTGCACTTTGCACTCTCTTTTCTATCCTTACCCACCCTAATCTTAGTAAAATACCTCCAACAATGAGTCGTGGTATCCTTAAACATGAAAACATGTGCTTAATACACTCAATTTCTACTATCACACTATACCTCAGCTCAGCGTGTGAAGGGGTGTGCTGCTGGAAGTCTCAAAGAGAGGCCCAATTATAATATAAGGTGCCTAATTCTGTGGGTTGAGTTAGGCTGAAACGGCTTTCTAATACTTAAACCCGGTTACGTTCCAACATATCATAACATTGCTCAAACAAAAGATATTCAGGAATCAGCAACCTTTGACAAGCATTAACATGTGCTTTTAGAAGTATTACAGCTTATTGACTTCAACTCACTTATGCAGATGTTCATTGAGGAAGTTATGGAACTTGTAGAGCTTAATTCCCCTCTCACCTTGCAGTTAACCCTCCTGTGCACGTTTTAAGAAACCCCTAATCCAAACAGCAGAGAACAAACCCCTAATCTAAGAACAAAGAGATCCAATCACATAATGCAACAGAAAAACATAAACCCCGTTCCTAATATTGCGCTTATAATCAGCAGTGTCAAAAGCTCCAACCACAGGGAGAAAGACGCCGTTGCAGAGACAAACCTGATGTTTTGTTGCTGTGCTGGTCTGAGAATTTGGCTGCTGTGAGGGTCAGAGACAAACGGGAATGCTTTCACTATTGAGGGTTGGAAAACGGACTAAATGAATAAGGTTAAACGAAGGCAACTTCCTGCATTCCATCATTCATCATTTCCAGAACGGAAGGTTTTGATGGGATGAGAGAAGAAATTTGATGAAGTTACGAAATTTTTATGGTGGGCCATGAATAGGAGATGATCTGAAGAAAGAGACTGAAAGGATGGGCATTACTGTTTCAGTGGGATTCCAAATTAAATGCAGAGGTTAAGTTAAGGAGAGTGGAGATAGGGTTGAGACAGGTAGGTAGGTGGAAGTGAACAGAATGAATATCATGGGTCAATTTTTGTACATGACCACACTGCATGTCATTATGCATATAGTCATATACAATGATGGTACGTTTAATATCACATGGGCATCTCAGTATTTAGCAAACCAAGTCTATGAAAGAACAATAATGCTGACACACAAACAGCAGCAGATGTGCACCATATGGAAAGGACAAACACTCTGGAGAATTGCAGCTGCTATAAACATGTGACAACTCTGTTACAAATTCATTTTACTACATCCTTTAACCTCAAGCAAACTAGGTAAAGAGTTTCATCTTTTGAGTTTTGATTATCCTAGTTCAAAGATACTTTCACAGGGTTAAGATTTTCATTTCCACATTTGTAATTATTCTTTTTGAAACTTAGACATCATTAAATTGAGTTGTACTTATGTAATATATCTTTTTGATACATACCATTTGTTATTTAATTGGATCTGATTTCTGACATTCAATAACTTTATTGTGAATTCCAAAACTCACCGTAAAAAGGCCATTATTCTCATATGAAACTTTTGAGAACAATCTTGTACTCGTGCGTATGTGTTTGTAGTGGTGATAATGTCAATTGGCCAACCTAATTTTCAGGGCAAAGAATCTGAATACTGCTTCAGTTTTTGCGTACAGTTCACTTTTTCGAATTTCTTCCATCGTGGCACAAAAGTGTTATCAATGATTACACATTTTTATGTAATTGTCACGAAAGAAAAAATTGGTAGAAGAAAATCAATACAGCCGTGTAGATTGATTTGATATTGATTTAGTTAGACTAAGAAACTCTCAACAATCTTACATTGGTTGAATGGTTTTGTTACCTAGTCA